TTCCTATAAGTATGATTAAAATTAAAGAAAATTATGTTAATCAAATAAATATTAAATATTACTTGTTCCATTTTTAGGATCACCAAGAAAGAGTATATTCTGAATTTTATAATTGTGAGTAGTGGCACCATGCACAACAACAAATTTCATTTGACAATAAGGTTTTAGCAATAATATTATACTCTAACGCAACTGCACTAGACTGTTTAGGAAAAAGCTCCAGACATCCAATATATATTAGCTTAGGTAATATTCCAACAAAATTTTGTAATAAACCTGAAGCTAAGGCACTTGTTGGTATAATACCAACATTACAAGGAACTAAGGAAGAGTGAAATACACCAGAATTTAGACAAAAGATTCGAACAACCTTTCACAAATGTATTAACATATTAATTGAACCATTACATTTACAGTATAATTCTGGAGTATTATTAAATATTAATGATTGTAATTTAAGATGTAATATGATGCTAGCTAGTATTATTGGAGATTGGCCTGAAAATTGCAAATCATGCTTAACTTATAGTGAAACAAAATGTGCATGCCCTTGTCATACTTGCTTTGTTGAAAAGGATAAATTAAATGTTATTAATTTACCAGTAAGTCAAAAAATTATTCGAACAGAGGATCAAATGCAACAAGTCATTGCATTAAAACAAGGCAAAGATTATTCATTGCATAAAGAAACTAATAGTTTTTAGAATCATTTGTAAGTTTAAAATTTATTTTAGTATACATTAATAATAAGGTTTAAGCTTTTAATGTGCATTAATAATAAGGTTTAAGCTTTTTGTATATATTATTAATAATAAGGTTTAAGTTTTCAGAATATACTTTATAAATTATATATATACTTATTTATTTATTTATTTTTGCTATAGAAATTTTAATATTTATATAGCAACTATTCCTGAATGAATGCACTACTTAGACCTTGGACTCTTTGAACATATGATTAAATGTATACAAGATCTCTTGAAAGCTTATGAAGGTAATGCCCTTGTTAATAAAATGGATTTGAGACTTGGATTAATACCATGCTATCTAGAATTAAAAGTATTTAATAATGGACTTGCAGATCTTGCTTTGTTTACAGCATCTGAGTATAAGCACATGATAAAAATTATGCCATTTGTTCTTGAAGGTCTTCTTGAAAAAAATCAAAATGAACTACTCATTCAAATGTTTGTTAATTGGAATAAAATGTATAATTAATCAAGACAATATAAATTTACACCAAGTGACCTTTACTAATTTGAGATTAGTAATTATATTTTTATTGGTATAAAATAAATACAATTTATTAAATTAACTTATCAGATTATTGCT